CCTGGCGCACCGGCGCGTGGTGCTGGCGCTGATGTGCTTCCTCGGCTTCGGTGAGCCGCGGGCGGGCGGGGGGACAATCGCCATGCCCCGTTCCCCACGTTCTCGGAGCAGAGGCAGGAGCTCGCCGGCCAGCAGCCTCTGCGCAGCTCCCGCCGCAGCCTCCCTCTTCCCCCGGGACCCCCAGTGCGGCCCCACCGGCGTCCGGACAGCCGGGTCTTCGGCTAAGCCGGCCGGTTTCATTGCACTCGTTTATTTCCCAAGAAGCCCCAAGCCTAGCAGCTCGCCCTGGGGCCGCACAGAGGAAGGAACTTCCAGATCGTCAGGGCTCCTCTCCGCGCACGAAATTCGGGAAACTTAACTCCCCGCCCCGAGCAAACACACATGCAAAACCAAACGACCCTCTGCTTTACCAAATGAAAGATGCTGGTGGCGGTCAGCGTCTCAGCCCCGGGAAGATCTCTGAGCGTGTGGCCGAGCCTCGGCGAGCGTCTCTGCTCTGCAGCTCCGCCCTGCAGCGACCCCAGCGCGCACTTGCGGCGGCGGGGCTGGTTTCACTTAGGCGGTCGGAGACAGAGCCTTGTCGTGACATAATGTTAAAAACAGCTTCCCTCCAGCTTCGTTTTTGATGTAACCAGCAACTGTTCTAACCATAATGGTAGTTTGGCGTGGGAACATGTGTTTTCCAGGAGGCTAGTTGGCAACTGCGTAATGAAGTGTAAGAACATTGTGCTGGATATAACTTCGTGCTACTGCTGGCGAACACAGGGACTTCCAAAAGTTTGTGAAAAATGGAATTGAAGGGACCAGCAGTTAGCATGATGGCTGTGTCGCTGGACTCCCACGTAGTTGACCGCGGTTCGAGTCCTGGACCCCGTGGCTTAAATTCACACCTGGCGCGTGTGCGTGCGTGCCCAAGATCCCGAGAGGAGAATGGCGGAGAAGTGATTGCCGTGTGGCCATCCCCCCTGGGGCTGATTTCTCGCTTTCTGTCTCTGTCTCTCTCTGTCTGGCGAGCACATGCGCCCTATAGCAAAAAGCTCTAAAAAAAAAAAGGAATTGAAGTACGGATTTGTGTGGTGCAAACAAAAATATTGAAATCCACCTATAGTTTTCATTCATAATGTGCATTTCTCATGAACTTTTTGAACAGCCCTGTATAAGGCGTGAAGGATGCTTTGATTTCTTTGCAATTCTTTTTGCCCCTCAACCTCATAGGTTTTTTTTTTTTTTTAAGGTGATGTTTGGTCACGAGCTGTAAAACATAACATTGAATCCTTTACAAGTGATTAAAAAGGAACTGGAAGTTTTTGGGTTTAGAAAGGACAGGAAAAAACACTTTTCAAACGTTGTCCCTATTCAAGCAGACGTTATTTTTTGTAAATTCTTGGTATCTGCCTGGATTCCAGAAACCAGATTCATACCTTTATAATGGAAAAAAAATTTTTTTCCCTTTTTTAATCCCCTTAAACTGGTAGCTTCCTATAGCATAGAGTTAGTGGAGAGATGATGGCAATATTCTTTTCTAAAAAATAATTATTTTATTTAACTTTATTTAAATTTGACCAGAGAGGGACAGAGTGGGGCGGAGGTGGGGGGTGGGGTAGAGAGCAAGCCACCAGGTCTGGGACTTGAACTGTGATCAGCTGTGTGGGAGTCCAGTGCCCTTAACCACCCTTCCACCTACTGTCCGCAGCAATATTCTTTTGTAGCCTAATCTGATTATATACCTTTAAAATAAATCTGACTGCTCAAATATAAAACTCTCCACACGTCTCGCTTTCAGCTCCTCAACAGACATTATTGTATTTTAATTTAATCCTTTAGAACTCCTTTTCTTTTCATTTCTGTCTCTGTGTTCATAAATTATTTGATTTGGTGCATCTGATTTTTAGACCTAGAACTCATTTCAAATATTGGTTTCATTAGGATAGCTGAACTCTGATCCTTCCGCATTAAAGAGAAACTGCTAAGGATGTTCATAAAATTGTGTGTGTGTGTGTGTGTGTGTGTGTGTGTGTGTGTGTGTGTTGGTGGCTTTAAATAAAGAAATATAGTTGCTTCATGAGGATGTTAATACAGTAATAGGTCTGTGAAGCATGATGAAAGTCAAATGGAAAAAGCTGATAATTTCTTAACTCAAACTCCTGGTATTTGCTATATATGCGCACTACTAATTTGTGAAAGTTATTTGGCTATAATTTAAAAATATGCTGGGTAAGGAAGTGGTTCAAACAAGTTAGTTAACATACTGTTGGCCCTGGAGCCCGTTGTGTAAGCGTTTAATAATCACCACTTGAGTAGTAATTGCAGTTTGAACCTTTGGTATGGGTAACGTTATTACTTACACAGTTTTTGCTCTTCCTTTTTGTAGGTAGCTATTTTTGCTATGATAATCCTGCTGCCCTTCAGACTCAGGTTAAACGGGTAAGTTGATTTTTGTTAAACGGGTAAGTTGATTTTTCACCTTTATTTCTTCTGTTGGCTTTGGAGTGGGTGCAGCTCAGACTGCCGGGTGTGAAACATCCACTGAATCTGTTTTCCTATCAGTCATCACCAAATCTACATGCTACAAAGAGTGTTCTCAAATTGAAATAAGCAGCCACAACACAGGCATCTGTAGCACGTATGTGACTTGAAATTGTTTCATACCCGCGTAAATAATTATGTGGTCTTTCTGCAGTACTGCCAAAATAAATAGCAGATTTTTATTTGCCTTTCACTCACTTTGGTTAATCATCAGAATGACAAATGATTTGGTAGATGACTTTTTTCCTTTTTAAATAGGTCTTTGTTGTTGTTGTTATTTTTAAAAATGTGAATACTTATTGTAGAAGATTGTCCATATAGGTATTTTCAGTCTGGGTTTGTATTATAAAAATATATTGGATGTTTATAGTTTCTTGGGTATTTAGATAGTCTTTGTTTTGTAAATTTTTTACCTTTGGACAGGGCAACTTGCAAATATTGGCTGTTTGCATTCTGTAAAGTGAGAGAGGGCTGGTTCCATGGCCTAGTGGTTAAGGAAGGCAGGTATCACGTGGCTGACTGTGGTTTGGTCCCAGTGACTTGAAAAACACACTGGGTGTGTGTGCGTGAATGCCCCAAGTCCCCACGGGATGAAGAAATGGGTGAAAAAGATAGTGGTGTGACCATGGCCCATTGGGTGGTGCTTTCTCTCTCTCTCCCTCTGTCTCTCTGGAAAGCACATATGCTTTCTGGCAAATTTTAAAAAATTAAAATGGGAGAGAGGCCAGCCAGTGGTGTGGTGGTTAAGGCAGCTGGATCCAACATAGCCACCAGTGTTTTCTGAGTCCCAGATCCGGTGACTTGAAAAAACACACTGGGCATGTGCGTATGAGTGTCCAGAATCCCAAAAGGAGGGAGAAATGGAGGCCGGCCATCCTCCTTGAGGTGATTTCTTGCTCCCTCACACCCACAAGCTAGCATCCACACCCTCTGACAACATTTTTTAAAAAATGAGAAAGGAGATGAGTTGGGGGGTGGGGGAGAGGGTAAGGTGGGCAGAGCTAGACTGAGAGGACCCTTTTCTATGTGGGAGGCGTTCCCAAGGCAGGTGGTATGGAGGGAATACAGGCACAGAAGATAATAGAGGCAGTCCCTGTAGGAAGGTGTCAGACCCTGGAATCTGGGAAGCCCCTGAAAGTGCAGGGGGACTCAGGAAGTTCCCAGGGACTCAGGTAGGACTATGCTATTTTTTTTTTTTTTTCCCCTGGGCGAGGAGACCTTGCCTTTTGTGAGACTTTCAAGGAAATCAGTGACTTCAAAATGGGGAAGAAACTTGCCCTACATGGAAAGAATAATGTAACCACTTTCTATCTTAGGTTTGTCATTTTCTGATATGTTAGTTGCTAAACGTAAATGGAAAAAAAATCGTTTCCTTTTCTTTCCC